GCCTTGCAGGTCAGTACTACAGGGCGCGGAGCCCAGCGAGCAGGAGGTGCTGGGCGTCATGATGCGCGGACACGACTCCATGATGGCCGTGCTCACCGCCCGCCAGCGCGCCTTGCAGGTCAGTACTACAGGGCGCGGAGCCCAGCGAGCAGGAGGTGCTGGGCGTCATGATGCGCGGACACGACTCCATGATGGCCGTGCTCACCGCCCGCCAGCGCGCCTTGCAGGTCAGTACTACAGGGCGCGGAGCCCAGCGAGCAGGAGGTGCTGGGCGTCATGATGCGCGGACACGACTCCATGATGGCCGTGCTCACCGCCCGCCAGCGCGCCTTGCAGGTCAGTACTACAGGGCGCGGAGCCCAGCGAGCAGGAGGTGCTGGGCGTCATGATGCGCGGACACGACTCCATGATGGCCGTGCTCACCGCCCGCCAGCGCGCCTTGCAGGTCAGTACTACAGGGCGCGGAGCCCAGCGAGCAGGAGGTGCTGGGCGTCATGATGCGCGGACACGACTCCATGATGGCCGTGCTCACCGCCCGCCAGCGCGCCTTGCAGGTCAGTACTACAGGGCGCGGAGCCCAGCGAGCAGGAGGTGCTGGGCGTCATGATGCGCGGACACGACTCCATGATGGCCGTGCTCACCGCCCGCCAGCGCGCCTTGCAGGTCAGTACTACAGGGCGCGGAGCCCAGCGAGCAGGAGGTGCTGGGCGTCATGATGCGCGGACACGACTCCATGATGGCCGTGCTCACCGCCCGCCAGCGCGCCTTGCAGGTCAGTACTACAGGGCGCGGAGCCCAGCGAGCAGGAGGTGCTGGGCGTCATGATGCGCGGACACGACTCCATGATGGCCGTGCTCACCGCCCGCCAGCGCGCCTTGCAGGTCAGTACTACAGGGCGCGGAGCCCAGCGAGCAGGAGGTGCTGGGCGTCATGATGCGCGGACACGACTCCATGATGGCCGTGCTCACCGCCCGCCAGCGCGCCTTGCAGGTCAGTACTACAGGGCGCGGAGCCCAGCGAGCAGGAGGTGCTGGGCGTCATGATGCGCGGACACGACTCCATGATGGCCGTGCTCACCGCCCGCCAGCGCGCCTTGCAGGTCAGTACTACAGGGCGCGGAGCCCAGCGAGCAGGAGGTGCTGGGCGTCATGATGCGCGGACACGACTCCATGATGGCCGTGCTCACCGCCCGCCAGCGCGCCTTGCAGGTCAGTACTACAGGGCGCGGAGCCCAGCGAGCAGGAGGTGCTGGGCGTCATGATGCGCGGACACGACTCCATGATGGCCGTGCTCACCGCCCGCCAGCGCGCCTTGCAGGTCAGTACTACAGGGCGCGGAGCCCAGCGAGCAGGAGGTGCTGGGCGTCATGATGCGCGGACACGACTCCATGATGGCCGTGCTCACCGCCCGCCAGCGCGCCTTGCAGGTCAGTACTACAGGGCGCGGAGCCCAGCGAGCAGGAGGTGCTGGGCGTCATGATGCGCGGACACGACTCCATGATGGCCGTGCTCACCGCCCGCCAGCGCGCCTTGCAGGTCAGTACTACAGGGCGCGGAGCCCAGCGAGCAGGAGGTGCTGGGCGTCATGATGCGCGGACACGACTCCATGATGGCCGTGCTCACCGCCCGCCAGCGCGCCTTGCAGGTCAGTACTACAGGGCGCGGAGCCCAGCGAGCAGGAGGTGCTGGGCGTCATGATGCGCGGACACGACTCCATGATGGCCGTGCTCACCGCCCGCCAGCGCGCCTTGCAGGTCAGTACTACAGGGCGCGGAGCCCAGCGAGCAGGAGGTGCTGGGCGTCATGATGCGCGGACACGACTCCATGATGGCCGTGCTCACCGCCCGCCAGCGCGCCTTGCAGGTCAGTACTACAGGGCGCGGAGCCCAGCGAGCAGGAGGTGCTGGGCGTCATGATGCGCGGACACGACTCCATGATGGCCGTGCTCACCGCCCGCCAGCGCGCCTTGCAGGTCAGTACTACAGGGCGCGGAGCCCAGCGAGCAGGAGGTGCTGGGCGTCATGATGCGCGGACACGACTCCATGATGGCCGTGCTCACCGCCCGCCAGCGCGCCTTGCAGGTCAGTACTACAGGGCGCGGAGCCCAGCGAGCAGGAGGTGCTGGGCGTCATGATGCGCGGACACGACTCCATGATGGCCGTGCTCACCGCCCGCCAGCGCGCCTTGCAGGTCAGTACTACAGGGCGCGGAGCCCAGCGAGCAGGAGGTGCTGGGCGTCATGATGCGCGGACACGACTCCATGATGGCCGTGCTCACCGCCCGCCAGCGCGCCTTGCAGGTCAGTACTACAGGGCGCGGAGCCCAGCGAGCAGGAGGTGCTGGGCGTCATGATGCGCGGACACGACTCCATGATGGCCGTGCTCACCGCCCGCCAGCGCGCCTTGCAGGTCAGTACTACAGGGCGCGGAGCCCAGCGAGCAGGAGGTGCTGGGCGTCATGATGCGCGGACACGACTCCATGATGGCCGTGCTCACCGCCCGCCAGCGCGCCTTGCAGGTCAGTACTACAGGGCGCGGAGCCCAGCGAGCAGGAGGTGCTGGGCGTCATGATGCGCGGACACGACTCCATGATGGCCGTGCTCACCGCCCGCCAGCGCGCCTTGCAGGTCAGTACTACAGGGCGCGGAGCCCAGCGAGCAGGAGGTGCTGGGCGTCATGATGCGCGGACACGACTCCATGATGGCCGTGCTCACCGCCCGCCAGCGCGCCTTGCAGGTCAGTACTACAGGGCGCGGAGCCCAGCGAGCAGGAGGTGCTGGGCGTCATGATGCGCGGACACGACTCCATGATGGCCGTGCTCACCGCCCGCCAGCGCGCCTTGCAGGTCAGTACTACAGGGCGCGGAGCCCAGCGAGCAGGAGGTGCTGGGCGTCATGATGCGCGGACACGACTCCATGATGGCCGTGCTCACCGCCCGCCAGCGCGCCTTGCAGGTCAGTACTACAGGGCGCGGAGCCCAGCGAGCAGGAGGTGCTGGGCGTCATGATGCGCGGACACGACTCCATGATGGCCGTGCTCACCGCCCGCCAGCGCGCCTTGCAGGTCAGTACTACAGGGCGCGGAGCCCAGCGAGCAGGAGGTGCTGGGCGTCATGATGCGCGGACACGACTCCATGATGGCCGTGCTCACCGCCCGCCAGCGCGCCTTGCAGGTCAGTACTACAGGGCGCGGAGCCCAGCGAGCAGGAGGTGCTGGGCGTCATGATGCGCGGACACGACTCCATGATGGCCGTGCTCACCGCCCGCCAGCGCGCCTTGCAGGTCAGTACTACAGGGCGCGGAGCCCAGCGAGCAGGAGGTGCTGGGCGTCATGATGCGCGGACACGACTCCATGATGGCCGTGCTCACCGCCCGCCAGCGCGCCTTGCAGGTCAGTACTACAGGGCGCGGAGCCCAGCGAGCAGGAGGTGCTGGGCGTCATGATGCGCGGACACGACTCCATGATGGCCGTGCTCACCGCCCGCCAGCGCGCCTTGCAGGTCAGTACTACAGGGCGCGGAGCCCAGCGAGCAGGAGGTGCTGGGCGTCATGATGCGCGGACACGACTCCATGATGGCCGTGCTCACCGCCCGCCAGCGCGCCTTGCAGGTCAGTACTACAGGGCGCGGAGCCCAGCGAGCAGGAGGTGCTGGGCGTCATGATGCGCGGACACGACTCCATGATGGCCGTGCTCACCGCCCGCCAGCGCGCCTTGCAGGTCAGTACTACAGGGCGCGGAGCCCAGCGAGCAGGAGGTGCTGGGCGTCATGATGCGCGGACACGACTCCATGATGGCCGTGCTCACCGCCCGCCAGCGCGCCTTGCAGGTCAGTACTACAGGGCGCGGAGCCCAGCGAGCAGGAGGTGCTGGGCGTCATGATGCGCGGACACGACTCCATGATGGCCGTGCTCACCGCCCGCCAGCGCGCCTTGCAGGTCAGTACTACAGGGCGCGGAGCCCAGCGAGCAGGAGGTGCTGGGCGTCATGATGCGCGGACACGACTCCATGATGGCCGTGCTCACCGCCCGCCAGCGCGCCTTGCAGGTCAGTACTACAGGGCGCGGAGCCCAGCGAGCAGGAGGTGCTGGGCGTCATGATGCGCGGACACGACTCCATGATGGCCGTGCTCACCGCCCGCCAGCGCGCCTTGCAGGTCAGTACTACAGGGCGCGGAGCCCAGCGAGCAGGAGGTGCTGGGCGTCATGATGCGCGGACACGACTCCATGATGGCCGTGCTCACCGCCCGCCAGCGCGCCTTGCAGGTCAGTACTACAGGGCGCGGAGCCCAGCGAGCAGGAGGTGCTGGGCGTCATGATGCGCGGACACGACTCCATGATGGCCGTGCTCACCGCCCGCCAGCGCGCCTTGCAGGTCAGTACTACAGGGCGCGGAGCCCAGCGAGCAGGAGGTGCNGCAGCAACCGCAGTTAAGGAACGGCTGGGACGAACAAGGATAAGCGAATCAAACTCGTGAGCCTTGTTAGGGTTACACTGGTTAAGGCGACCCTTTACAAGGCTTGGAAGCATGTGGGTAACTAGCCATTGGACGTGGAGAGGGTAATTAATTATACGTATATTTTCTACTTTGCCGAACTTTAGCGCGAGAACGGTTTGTCCAAAACATATGAATTTGGTCTTATTCAATGCAGGATTAAGTGCCCTTGAACCGTCATGAAGACCACTTTTCGATAGGGTAAGTCCTTTACGCGGTATAACCGGAAAACCGAAAAAACGCCCCTTTCGGGGGCCCCCACCACTTAAGCACAACTCCGTCGAAGTCGAAAACTTAGGAGAGTCTTAATGGGCAACCAATGAAGCCATTAAAGCAAAAAAATCTTTTGTAGGAATTATTTCCGATTTAATCAATTTTTGTGTTTAATTCTACTGGCCTACAGCAAGCTCACAGATTTTGAAAGCTTATAAATGGCCATTGGCTAAAAAGCTGAATTCATGTCAAGTATTGATACTGATAATAAAAAACAACATCTGCTTGTGACATTGACGTTTCAACATAACCTCAAAATTTCACATCTCACGACCACCAAAACACCATGCTAAAAGTTTATTTCTTGTGGGATATAATTTAAAACATTCAAAATGCAAGTGTTTGAGATTGATAATGTCAAAATTTATAATCTTAGTGCCGGAAAATCACTTCCAGATGTAAGTATTCTTTATTATTTTTTTATTTTAATTTGTGACCCGTAAAGTTGTTATGGTATTTCAATTTCATATTCTTCTTAATTAACTCTAAACTAAGCGACAATGCAAGACCGGCGTGCATGTAAAAATAAGGGCATAACATTAATTTCCCACACTCCTGTGTTGTCTTATCGCAGTACTTGTTAATATATTTGTAATATTTAGTTTTCCACTTTAGATAATTTTACGCAGATACGTGAATATAAAAATAAAATAATTCCAGCATGTCCCTTAAATATTGTGTGTAATATAATATAATTATTTTGTAATTTCAGTGGTTATCGGAACGAAAGAAAAGGGCACTACTGAAAAAAAATGTAGACTTAAGGAGAAGAGTTGAATTGATTCAAGAGTTTGATATGCCAGGGCTGAGCACTTCAATCAGAGTTTCTAAAGATGGACAGTACATAATGGCTACAGGAATTTACAAACCCAGAATTAAATGCTATGATGTAAACAATCTCTCTCTGAAATTCGAAAGGTGTTTAGATTCAGAAGTTGTGACTTTTGAAATATTGAGTGATGACTACACCAAGGTCTGTATTATAACATCATCTGAAATTCATTAAATTTTGCTATTACAGTTTTCATAATTATTTAAGAGCGTTTACGTCTAGCGTGGCATGTCAAGTTTAGGTAATTTCGATGCTAGTTTTATTCACACTAAAATAATTATGACTGTGTGCGTGTTCTCACGCTCTATAGTCAAACCAAAATACTTTGATCCACCATCGTAAAAGTGTGCCAGGCTGTCAAGTGACAGCTCAAGGAAACTATAAANAATATTTTCTCAATTAACTATTTAGACGACGAAATTGCCTAACTATTTATGCCTATAACATATTTGTAGTATTACTGGTTAATGATTGTAACGAGTTGAAAAAGTACTGTTTTTGCGCCAAACGGCGTAAACGCTCTTAAATGATAAATGTTTTTCATATTTTCAGATTGTATTCTTACAATGTGATCGCTATGTAGAATTTCATGTTGGACATGGCAGGCATTACCGATTACGTGTTCCTCGCTTTGGAAGAGATATATCTTATCACCGGCCTTCTTGTGACCTATTTGTTGTGGGGGCTTCATCAGTGAGTTTTTTTTTAATTTTCTACATCATTTTACTTACTTACTCAATTATTACTGTGCCATTAACAAAACTGATATAATTGGAAGAATGCTTATGGTGTTTATTATAACAAAATACTGTTTTCAGGAAGTATACAGATTAAACTTAGAACTAGGCCAGTTCTTAGCTCCATATGTGACAAAGGCAACTGAAATCAATTGTTGTGCAGTGAACGATGACCATGGGTTACTCATACTTGGCACTGAGAGTGGTCATGTTGAAGCTTGGGACCCCCGGACCAAATCCAGACAAGGAATATTAGATTGTGCTTTACATTGTACTGACTCTGAATATAAGTGAGTACCTAAAATCTAATAATAATAATAATTTATTCATTCATAAACATTGGTATTATAGAATGTCACATACAAAATATTCTGTTGAGCTACTATATTTATCAAATTAATTTCAAATGTTCCTCTTTTTTCAGAAATGATGGTTTACCTGCAATAACTGCTTTAAAATTTGATGGTGCTCTAAAAATGGGAGTTGGAACTTCTACTGGTCATGTACTGCTATATGATATTCGGTCCAGTAAGCCCCTTTTAGTAAAAGATCACATGAATGAAACACCTATCAAATCAATAGAATTTCACAAACAAATGGATTATGTTTATTCAATGGATGCTAGTGTGGTAAAAATTTGGAACAAAAATACTGTAAGTATTTTTTTTTTATTTTAAACTACAGTTGTAATGAGCAGTAAAATAGTAATTTTTAATATTGTTTTTTTTTTTTATTTTAGGGTAAACAATATACAAGCATAGAGTCATCTGTGGACTTCAATGACTTATGTGTGGTACCCAACACAGGACTCAGTATGATGGCAGTAGAAGACCAAAAAATGCAAATTTATTATGTTCCATCTTTAGGTTTGTAATTAATCCATATCTAAAAGTTTTAAAACAAAATAATAAGTTCTTTATGACTTTTTAATATTTTACTTTACAGGCCCTGCACCAAAGTGGTGTGCTTTCTTAGATAATTTGACAGAAGAATTAGAAAGTTCAGCCTCACAAACAGTTTATGATGACTATAAGTTTGTCACTAAACAAGAACTAGAATCACTTGGCTTGGACCACCTTCTTGGAACTAACTTGTTAAGGGCATATATGCATGGGTAAGATATTATTCATAACAGTGACATGGCATGCACTAAGTTTATTAAATTAAGTATCATAAAATAACTACAAACTTTTAATGGGTATTCTTTATTGTTCTTTTATAGATACTTTGTGGATGTAAGATTGTATAAGAGAGCCAAATCCATTGCTGATCCATTTGCATTTGATGAATACAAGAAACGTAAAATAAGAGAAAAAATAGAGCAGGAGAGACCATCCAGGCTGAAGGTTGATGACAACTTGCCACACGTAAACAGGGAGCTGGCCTCCCGACTTATGGATACCGACAATAGGAAAAAGAAACAAACTGTAAATCTACTCAAAGATGATCGGTTTAAGGTATGCTATTTTAATGTGTCTAGATTTTACGTAAATAGTTTTACTTGTTACATTACTACACTAAAATTAATTAAATGTATGATTTTAGGCATTATTTGAAAACCCTGATTTCGAAGTGGATAAATCTGCTGAAGAATACCGTCTACTCAACCCTGTGTTGTCTAGATTAGATAAAAATAAGGACAAAGGCAAGGAGAGTGCAGAACCTATGCAAGTGAGTATTATAGTAAATTACTTTCAAAATAACCACTCTATCAATAAATTCCTGTAAATTTAACCTGTTAATTGAAATAAAACTTGAAAATTAAACACACAATCTGTTTGTAGGTTGAAGAACCAGAAGATAATGATTCAGATCGGGAGCTTTATGAGTCAAGTGAAGACAGTTCAGATGAGGATCGCTCATGGGTGAAAGAAGTGAAGAAACAGCACAAAATTATAAGACATTCAAAACAAAAAGAAGCAGAAGAGGAAGAAAGTGATACCGAAGAAAAGAGTGCTCCGAGAATACCCAATTCCATCAGGAGTCTTACCAGAGTGAGTAAGGCAAGTTTGGGCGACCGGTTAGCGAAAGAAGGGGTGTCGACAATGGTATCTGGCACAGGCGGTAATAAGGAAATGAAATTTAAAATGAGAGGGAAGAAATCAGAATCGGACAAAAATAAAATAAACAAGAAACATTTCCAAGAGAGAAAACAAATTGTGAGGAGAACAGGATTTTTAATGAAGAAAAAAATGCCGAAAATGTTATGACGTAGTTAAGGTTGCACTTTTGTAATGTTAGTTCAAATTATATTTTTTCATCAACATGTTAAAATAATAAACAATAACATATTAAGTAATATTTTTGTTTATATTTGAAGACCATTGACATCAATTACTTATGTATCATACCTACTTCGGGTTATCTAAGGTCTTATTGATTTACAAACCTTTGGGAGAATAAACCAAAAATAAAATATAGGTGGGATTTTTTTGATAATAAATTAAAATACTTGCAATTTAATTTTCCGATAAATAAAGTAAAATTTGACCAATATTCTTATTTTATAACTACTAATACTTAAATAGGTACATACAAGACTATAAAAGTGAACCATAAATAAGTCAGTCTGGTAAAAATGTAGGTAGAGAAGATAGGAAAAATTATACATTTTAAAGCCTTTGTCCATCGTTCGTATTTTGCCTGATAGCCAATTGTTTTTAATCTCTGCCCGAAGTGCTACGTTCTGTAAAGTTGTATGTACATATCGGTACATATAGTTAATCATTGACGGCTGGCTGACCCATCAATAACAAACGTATGAGTGCATTGCATCGCTATCGAGGTCTGCGCGTTCTTTTAATATGCACTACACGAAGTACATGTATGAACATCGGACGAAAAAAACAATGTATTTATTGTTACTAATAAAATAAAAGTGACAAGTTTCGTTTAGTGCTATAAAAAATAATGCAAAACGACAATGGGTCGTACGGTAGTGGTGAGTGTTAAACACATTAATTATTAATTTACCCTCTTTATTCGAATAAAAAGTTGTTTTTGTCTCAATAATATTGATAGTGGCATTCATCGGTAGTACATTTATAATTTATCGTTTGGAATAATGTGCAATGAAGTAATTAAAGTATAGATATGGGTAATAAACTGAATAATGTGAATTTTTCAACTGATTATGTAGCTAGTGACCTACTGGACAGCCATGTACTGGGCAACGACAAGCTCCGCGAGCCCGCCATGGAGCGATCCGCCAGGTCCAGCCTCGGCGGCAACAGCGTCGATGTGAGTCACCAAGTCTAAATTTAACTGTTCCCTCTTGATGCATGATATACTGCAAAGTGAACTAGTGGCATGGAAAAAACAGCGGTTTTATAGAACAACTAGCTTTCCGCCCGCGGCTTCGCGCGCGTGGACTACATTATCTACATATTTTACGGAACCCTATTTTTTTCCAAAATAAAATTTAGCCTATGTTACTCGTGGATAATGTAGCTTTCGAATGGTGAAAGAATTTTTAAAAACGGTCCAGTAGTTTTTGAGCCTATTCATTCATTACAACCAAACAAACAAAGTTTTCTTCTTTTTATAATATTAGTGTAGAAGTGTAGATGATGACGATGTAAGAACTTAAGCTCCAGTTAATTCAATACCGGTCGAGATAGGACATTTGTTATTATGTTCTTAAATATTTTCAGATAGGAGAAATAACTGAATCTCCCGATACTGAATATATGAGCACATCAGCAATTTTACATTATTGTAAATCAAAGGTAGGTTTCATTTAAACCATTCATGCATCCATTTTTTTTATTTTCAGTTAAATTTAAATACTTGCTTAAAACCAATACTTTGAAATTTCAGATATTACTTCCATATCTTAAACTTTTAACTATTATGGGCTTACGACCGGTGGTCGACGTCTCAAATTCGTCGGTATGTGCGATATGTTTCTCGCACTTCCATTCTGCACAAGTAGCTGTGTTTATGTTCGTCGGATATATTCTTCAGTATATGGCCTGTTTCAGGTATGTAACCTTTCCAATCGTAATTAATGAGTATTAATTTATAATTAGATGCAACTTAAATATTTGTTACTGATTGATTTCAGACGAGACAGAGGCTTCTGTTATAAGTTGGTGCCACTAGCTTTAACTTCATCTTTAGAATATGAAACATATAAACAAGTATGTTATGGAAATATCACATTCACTTATATTGGGCCCAGTATACTGCACTTCATGGGTTTTATTTACGCGTTGTATTTATTTCGAATATCAGACAACGAACAACTGCAAAACTTAATGGAAAGAGTAAGTACGACATTATTCTTCTACTTTAAAATAATTATTTATTACAACTTATTGTTCCTTTCTTAACGATAAATAAGTCACAATGTCTAGTCACTAGATGTTTATTAAATACTTAGGCCTTTTGATATACAGTGATAACTTTAAAAAGTTATAATGAATGATTGCCCTACAAATCTAACCCCGTTTCTATCGAATAGTTCTCGTTTGAATTGTTCCAAAAAAGAGGACTTACCCATTTTCCGTGCTGCATTTTCAAAAACATCATTATTCTAGGTGTTTCTACTGTCGTCGTACGCGCCGCAAGGCATGCCCACGACGAAGCCGAAGCGACTCTTGCGCATGCTGTGGATGTTCATCATTCTCAGCGTGCTCTGGATGTGTCTGTCGCTGTGCTCCGTCAACTTGATGATGGCCAAGGGAGCTATCATGTTTCGATGGATGGAATCAAGGTAAATACGAGTAATAACCACGTTTCGAATAAACGCTCTTTACGAAATTAATTGCAGCCATGTTAATATTTAAAGTTATTTAATTTTTAACTCTACGTTTTATGATTAAATTACACACGGTTTTCTGCCTCAGCCTCACCTTATTAAATAGGGTTGGCTTTCCCAATCATGCGCCGCCATTTATTTCTGTCTCGAAGGTCTTTTTGAAATAAACCAAAATTAACGCCCGTATTCACAAACATTACTATGAGGTCTCACAGTGTGCATGGACGCCCAGTGTCACACACGAACTAATCGCAGAGCTCTATTCAACGCTGTGCGTTCGACTTGCTGCTTTACTTAAGCAAGCATCGTTTGTGAATACAGGCGTGAAACGACTTAAGTATATGGAGTTACTAGCTTTTGCCCTCGGCTTCCCGCGTGAAATTTAGTTTGTCACAGATCGTCATAAATTATAGCTTACATGTTATTCGGGTTATAAACAATAATACTGTAAAGTTTCATCAAAATCCGTTCAGTAGTTTTTGCGTGAAAGGGTAACAAACATCCAGACATCCAAACTTTCGCATTTAAATATTAGTAGGATGTAAGTAAATAATTTCGCACATGGTCCTTTCAGTTCCGAAGACGTGCGGCTGGCCCTGAAGATCTTGCTAGTGGTGTGCACGCTGATCCACGACATGGTGCAAGCCACCATCATCACCAGCTACTGCCTGCAGGCGCAGCTGCTGCAGGCGCACCTCATGTTCCTGCGCGAGCGGCTGCTCCACCGGACCACCTCGCCGCTCAACTGGATGCGGGTAAAGCCTTGTCGAGTAATTTAGTAGAGCCGTGTTTTTCAACGTTTTTCATGACACGACCCCTAGTATAAAAAAGTTTTTGGCGACTCGGGACCGTTCGCTTTTTTTATGCATTTTATAATGTTGCAAAGATGTTTGTAGGGACCGAATACTTCAATCCATACAACATTTGCATAATTAGATTCGGATTAATCTGTCTTTATAAGATTTTTTTTACTGAAGTAGTTTTTACGACCTCTCGCGACCCCCCTATAGAGGCTTCGTGACCCCCAGGGGGTCGAAACAGGTTGAAAAACACTTAGTAGAGTAACTCGCCTTTAGTAACTAAACTAGGAAGTGGGTACTGATAAAAAACCGTTCGCACTTTGGTTGAGTGCTGAGTGTGAATTTATGTATGACGGATTGTACAGCGCCCCTAGCGGAAACGTTCAAGAACTAAAATTGTCATACATATTTTAACGCGTTCACTAGTGAGGACGTTTCATTAAACTCACACTCAGCCCACTGTTTACGATTAATTTGTGATTTTTATATGAACTACGTTTAGCCGGTGAGTGAGTGAACAGAATGGTTCGACTAATAAATAATTTAGTAACCTACTCGACTTAATTGCTCGCTTTAGTTTCAATTAAACCATTAATTTTTTTCCGTATCAACATATTTTTACTACTGCAATAAAACTTATTTACTCTGATACTAATAAGTACTCATTTTTTGTTGCAAGAAATCTTTACGATTTCTTTATCAGTTTACCTGTTTAAGAACAGTAATTAAATACGTGACATGATCATAAAAGTCTCTATCTTTCTCGGATTTATTACCAGATGACCCCATGCGTCTGTCCCTTCGAGCAGTAAGTTGCCCATTTAGAGCGCTTTCACAAAAGGCGTTTTAGCACTGCAGCTGCGCTACATATTATTTATGGATACGAGTCCCGCTACTGCAGCGCGACAAAAACGGCTAATATGTGAAAGCGCTCTTAAGTTTAGTTATGTGCATTTTTCTTTTCTATTTAAATACAGTGCACAGTTGGGCTCTGGCATTACTTATTTACCCTTAAGGTCTACAAGCAAAATTTATCTCACCTGGGTCTGTCAATCGTTACAGGAGGTCGCCGAATTCGAGAAGCTTCTAAAGTATCTCAACGACGACCTGGCGCCGGCGGTGTGCCTGTTCACGATCGTGAACATGTCGTGGGCGGCGTCGGGCGCGCTGTGGCTGCTGAGCCTCGACCGCGTGGACACCGAGACCGAGCCCATCGCTGGGATCAGCGTGCTCAACCAGCTGCTCTGGCTGGCCGCTGTCGTCGTGCCTTTTGTGCAGGTAAAATATTATAAAAAATATCTTTAAATAGGAAAAAAGTTTTTATTATGGCCCGGTCTGCTAGGCTTGGGCTTGGACCGCGTGTCCACCGAGACCGAGCCCATCGCTGGGATCAGCGTGCTCAACCAGCTGCTGTGGCTGGCCGCTGTCGTTGTTCCTTTTGTGCAGGTGTGTTGGATCGGATATATTATTCAAGTTAATAAAGATAATCTCCAAACTGCAAAAAATAGGTTTAATTATTGTCGTATGAAAATCTGAGGTGGAATTGTGTAAAGCAATCGTAATCATTCGACAGTTCATAACGTACGATAAAGTCAGTTAAACAAAGTGTTTGACAGAATAATCGTACGTTATGAACTGTCAAATGATTACGATTGCTTTACACAATTCCACCTCTGGATATTTTGATGATGTTGAATTTCATGAGTCTCCCTGCAAAAATGTGTCACATACTTTTTAAGATTGGTCTTGATCCATTTGCGTGGGACCCTAGGCAGTGGGGTTTATCGCTTACTTTCTGTTTCACGCAGAATATGAACTACGCAATGAATTCTTATCCTCCATTCTAGTAGGACAAAATAATGTGCTTCCGTCTGCAATTAATAGAAATACCTAAGAAGTCTTCTGCACTATCATAGCTGGTCTTACATTAAAATTTTCGTTCTCAGGCTGCGCGGCTATCAAAGGAGTGCCGGCGAACTCAGTCAGTAGGGCACGAGCTATGCGTACGACCGTTCCTGCACCAAGATACGTCGCAGGAAGACATAATCACGGTGCTGATGTATGCCTCCACGCTCAACCTCCAGGCCAAACTCTTCCACTACCCCATCGCCGGCCGCTCCGTATGCCTCATACTCACGCTCGCCATCATCGTCCTGTTTTCGCTAGGAATGTGTCATTATTTACAATGATCAATTCAATACCGTTACTATTATAATTTATAATAATTAATTTTAAAATTTTATCATTGATTTAATTAATAATAAAATAGTTATATTTTGTCAAACGTTTTTATTTTTTTAATAAGTACAACGTTACAATTTGGCACTAATACATAATTTCACACTCACTACGTTTGAAATGAGTTGGTGATGTACGACTTTATTAACAAAATTATATTTTTTTACTTATCAATTAATATAATATTTTACTACAAACTCATCATACAATATACATAATTTTACAATATAACACATCAATTAATATAATATTTTACTACAAACTCAATAAGCACTACTAGAATTAATTCTGAAATATTTTGCGATATCACTCCTATCAAATTGTCAGTGGCATCGTCTCTTTGATTTTTTACTCACTTGAATTTAGTTATGATGTTTGGCTTTCGCGTTTGGCACTTCTATGTGATCGATCAGTATCAAAATTTCTCTCTTTAGTTGTAAAATTATTATGTCTGCTATGACCTAGCAGAGATACAAACGAATCGGCGTCAATGACAATTCTATATGCCCTCTTCAATAGTTCACATTTTAATATTATGTCTAATACATTTGTGTACTCTAAACAAAACACGAGATATTTCCTTATAGTATTAGGCCTATAAACCCCATACTTAGCACCTTATTTTAATTAAGGATGGAAAAATCCATACATATTAATCTTTAAAATCCTGCAATAGGATATTTTTTGGCAGTGGAATAATAATATCTCCTTCATAGGCCTATACTATCAAAATGGAAATATCATCTATCTTTACCTACCATTACAATACTACAGTGAAATCTAAGTAACAAAGGACAATAGTTAATATCATAAGACAAATACACACTAAACAGTAAACATGCTTTAAAACTCTTATGTCCTCAATATAGGAGCACAAATTCAGTACTAATCAACAAAATTATTAAATTTTTGTGCATTACCTACTTATTTGAAATGAAACAGTTTTCAGTTACTATTCGACGCTTTTGTAGAGGTACGTAAGTACGTTGATTAAAATAAACGATAAGTGGTTTTGGCTAAGAATACACATTTTGACATTAAGTTCGCCTTTTGTAATCCGATATTGTGTGGAATAAAGCGAAATAAATTCAATTTATGCAACAGAGAAGTAAGGGGATTGGGTTACTTGTCAGAAAAAAACTTTGCGCTGGCGTCGCAGCGACCCTGTGCTTTTAACATTCAGTTCGCCCTTTGTAGTCCGATATTCTGTGCAATAAGGTGAAGTAAACTAAAATGCAACAAAGGGGTAAGGGGGTTGGGTTACTTGTCAGAAAAAAAATTGCGCTGGCTTCGCGGCGATGCTGTGCGGGCACTATAAGACACTATAAATAATATTATTACGTGTTGGAGTCTCAAAAGAGCTTAGTCTGTGTCGAAGAGCGCGAAGTGCATGATCTGCGTGCCCCACCACGCGCGCACGTCGTGCAGCGCCGGCTGCTCGCGCGCGCCGCCGCCGCTGTTGTGCGCGCGGTTGTTGCTCTTTATCACTGCTGGGGAGGTGTTTACAATTGAGCACCTTGCAGGATAGACAAGCCAGGGATACCACTACTAGGGGACACTAAATGAAGGGACGTGATGAGTCATTTCGCGCAACAACCATATTAAATTTTCGAAAGATGTTGCCGCGAGCGTTCGGATTAAGCGCGTAAAGATAATTCAAGCTATCTACCAGCACCGCGCACATCCAATTACTACTACTACCCGTTCGCGCTAAGTTTGCCGGTCCGTGGAATTCGCGTCCCCTCCCCAACCGCGATGAAACGCAATTATTTAGTGATTAAACGCAATTAATGTGTCTTATTTTACGCAAATACACAATTTTTATCAATAACAATAAATAAAATATATTTTAAATATAGTTTGTCATAGTTATAGACGCTTCCGTTTGAGTGACATCATATCGCCAGCGGCAAATTTATAGCGAACGGATAGTACCAATCTAATATATCTATAGACGTCCAAGTGATTACAAAATTAATGAGAAGAATTTAAACTACACAGGTTTGGACAGAGAGAGCCTTGGTCAGTCCCGATTGGTTAATGTATGGAAGGAATAATTGCACAAATGATACCTACTGAACTTACTTGGAGTCTTCTTGTTTAAGGCAGGGTGCGGGTCGCTTAAAGTAGGTTGTAAGTACTTTTTGTTGACGGGACTTTCTGGTCTGTAAACAAATGATATACAATGCATAACGTTACAACATCGTAGAACAAACTTTTGTATTCAGATATGTGATAATTACGAATATTACTTTTGATACAGAACCTTGGTATAGTCACAGAGGGTAATCCAGGTCTTTTGAATTGCCCCTTAGTAGACGATCGCTTTGATTGAGAGTCAAATGATGAAGTTATATCTGTAATACAAATTAAATATTTTAGCCCTAATATCTGTCCATATCTTTTTGACACTTTACAAAGTTGTAAATGGTCAACGTATACTCACTGGACATGACGGGTTGAGAAGCCGATTCTGTTATTTCTGATCGCCCAATATTTGCTATGGCCATCTATAAACAGAATACATATTATCATTTAGTGAACAACATTTATATTCAAATGAAAACAATAAAATGTTGATGCACCAAGTTACCTGAGTTTCAGTTTCAAGTTTTTCTTTGTCCATCTTCTCACTGTTCAGATCAACTGTTTGTTCATTTGTTTTTCTTAAGCCCGCTATGAGACTGGTTTGTTGTTTCTAAAAAGAAAATACCATAAAGTTTGTAGCCAATGATTTTGACGAAAATAGTTATAGGATATTAAAAAAGTTGATGTATCTTACGCTGCTATTGGCGCGTATCTTTTTCAAGCATCCCTCAAGCCACGTGCGTATGGTCTGCTTGGCCACCTCCTCTTCAACCAAAAACTCGAACTCCTCTCTCGCTAGCAACTCTTCCATTTGTAGGGATTTTCGAATGTCCACTGTGCGGTATGATAGCATGCTAAAAATAACATTAGTGTTTCATAAATAAGGTTGAATTTCAACTGCAATATTCAATGACATGTAAATTATTGAACTCACTTGATGACGTCATGGAAAGTGACATCCTCTCCGTTGTGAAGCCGTTCAAGTTCATAGCACATGTATTTGAAGAGCAGTCGCTCTTTGTGAGTGTCGCATTCTAACCGACCTTTTAGTAGTCGAAGAATGAACTTCACCTTGAAAAAAAAACATGATTATTTTTTTAAGCAATTTTGTATGGTTTAAGCCAATATTTTTTGTTTGACTTACTTTCCGCACTGGTATCACACCCTTTTGATGGACATCTACGACGTTCCAAGTGTTCTGGAAGTTTCTGATGTCGGCGTACGACAACAGAGCGTCTTCTTCGTTCGAGTAAAATAATGAAAAGTTCTCCATGATAATAGCTGCAAGGTAAAAGGTATTGGTTAGCTAGCCGTTTTGTGGACTGCATATTTGGCTGCTTTAGAACAGGATAAAACCATCCCCCCTAATCCAGAGGATGTCTTGAAAGGTGAGTAAGGAACAAATATGCGAACATTTTAGACCTATACAGATATGTATTTTACATCACACCTGTTCTGATGCTGATTACTGCTGTTCTCGGGATCTATCATTACTAGTTGGGATTAGTTAGCTGCATTATGTGGACGACATACTGACCATTGGACTGCCATTAAGTGAAATGAACATGACGGTACTGACCATTGGGCTGCTATTAAGTGAAATGAACATGACGGTACTGACCATTGGACTGCCATTAAGTGAAATGAACATGACGGTACTGCGCATTGGACTGCCATTAAATGAAACGCACATGACGATACTGACAATTGGACTGCCATTAAGTTAAATGACGACGATACTGACCATTAGACTGCCATTAAGTAAAATGACGACAACAATACTGACCCACGAGCAGGTTGAGCACGATGTAGGTGATGATGACGTAGAAGGTGCAGAAGTAGGCCAGCGAGGCGGTGAAGTTGCCGCAGTCGGTCTCCCAGTAGTTGTCGGCGGGCGTGCAGAAGGGCGGCGCCACCATGCAGTCGTGCATGATCTTGTTCCAGTCTTCGCCCGTTACGATACGGAACAACATCGCCACGCTGTGGATCGGCGAGTTGAAGTTTGCCCGCCTGCAAAACACGTACATATTATTTCAACATGTAAGCAATTTGTATGTGCATTCTATTCTTTTTCTATCTCTCATCAATATTACAAGCAGTAGCTGCGTTTACTTTATTGAATACCACGTATGACTCCAAAGAATAGATATAAATATACCCAAGTACACTTTGGGCTTGTTCTTTACTTAAGGGAGTAATAAAAATGTGTGTGCGCACGTAAATGGAATACGATTTTTTTACATCGTAATTTTTTCGCAAAACGCAAACGTAGTCGTGCCAATAAAACTTGGCGACGCACTGTAGCAGACGAGACGAAGAAGGTCGGCAAGACTTGGAGCGAGATCAAACGCGAAGCTCAAGACCGAACGCGATGGAGGACTGTTGTGAACGCCCTCTGCCCCATCTAGGGAACATAGGACATTAATGCCCGTTTTCACCATCAATCCCTAATTTTTAAGTGACCCATGGTAACACTTAACAGGAATTTTGTATTCATAGGGGTCACTTAAAAATTACGGATTGATGGTGAAACCGGGTGGTGAAATCAAGTATTTTTTTTTAACTTACCTCCCAATCCCTTCCCCATACTTGACGTTCCCAAACACGATGGTCCCGGCGAGCGCGTAGAAGAACACCAGCAGGAACATGCCGAAGATGATGAAGAAGCTCTTGCACACGCTCACGCCCACCGTCAGCATCAGCATCTTTAACGTGGTATGCTTGCCCGTGATCGTGAAGAAGCGCAGGATCACCACCATGAAGCCCACGAAGTACGATAGGTCGTTTTGGAGCAGGTGGGACAGCTGAGGAAATAAACTGTCTTGTATTCTCTCAACTACAGTTCAGTTTTGAGAAAGAGAATCCAACTCAGCAGCGTTCGGGAATACCATAAGAATTAACATAAGCATTTTTCCGTCCAAAATACCTCAATGCCTCAAGACGAAAGACTGTAATAAT